CTTGCTTACAAAGTTTACTTGGAACAGGATATTGTGCCAAACCACAATTGAGACCAGAAATTTGAAGTCAGTGATCTGGTTTGCCAGGCTTTGCACCTCGTGTCAGATTTCGGCCTTTGCTTTACTCGTGTGTGCCAGTTCCATTAGGGCATCCTAAATCTCAGTCACTTGGTACCTCACTGGCCTTATGCTGTCAATGCAGCTCTCCCAGCGAGTGTCACTTAGCGGCATCATTGTCAGAATTGTAACATTGTCTATGAGGCTCTTCCACCTGATACTTGATGCTGAACACGGGACGTACATCCTTTGCAGCACTCCAAAGAGAGATACTGAATCTAAAGAAGATGACACTGAATTTGACACAGCCAGATTGAGGGAATAGCAGCCACAAGGCACGAAGAAAGCTCTTGAATTCACCGCAAGGATCTTTGCCTGGACACCAGTGTTTCTTCTCTACATGTTGAAGCTTTATTTTATTCTCATTCAAAAACATTCTTAAACAGTCCTGTTAAGCTTTTTCAAGTAGAGTTGTCCACAGACAAAAAAAAATAAAGAGTTCCTTTACTTGGATACAGCCATCCTTGTCATCAACAAATCTTACTGTAAATGACATCTTTTCACTGTGAATAATATCGAGAGTGCAGTTCACTTTGCTGAGCTGCATCAATATATTATCAAGCACCTTCCTTGCCATAAGATCAATCAATTTGTTTTTAATTGTTTTGCTGCAGTAATGGTCCATAGTTTCTTTACAAACTACTTGACGTAGGTGCTCACACATGACCTCCTCATATTTCCCAAGGAGCTGTACCAAACTGAGGAAATTACTGTTATGTTCAGTGAACAACATATCTGACGAGCCCTGGAAAGCCAAATTATTCTTGCAAGGAAGTGGGTAATTGAGATCAGATACTTAAGCACATTTCTCCAGTGCTGGGTTTCTACATTAATAATGTGCTGGTTGTCTGCGTATATGCATTTATTCAGCTTGAGCCTGGACTCGACTGCCATCCATTTGGAATAGTAGGCCATAAAATGTCTGGGTGACTTTTCATGTTGCTTCTGAGCATCAGCTAAGTTATGCCAATAATTGTATGTGGAAAGCTCAAGCAACAATTTGGCATCCTTGTCAAATATTTTGCAACAAAAACAGAACACTTTGTCAGTTGATTTTGAGTAAATTAGCCAATGTCAATTCAGTTTCTCACCATTATCGAGCACTCGTGACTCTGAGAAGTGTTGCTTCTGCTCATTTACTAGAAATGTCATATCCTCGATTTGGCCCAGCCCATTTAAAATTGTATGATCAATATCATTACTCTCCTTTTCATGTGAGCCACATTCTTCTTTATCATCACTCTCCTTCACATTGCCAGGAAAACTGGATGATTCTCCATCACTTTCTTCACCATTCCATTCCTTATTTTCAGGTAAATCTGCTAATTCCTTAGTAATAGTACTTCTATCATTTTCTTCTGCACTGGGATGATCACTACTGCCTAAAGCCTAGTCTATATTTTCCCCATCAAATTTGCCCCTTGCTACAAATAAGATTGCAATTGATCTTTATGCTTCTTATACTGAGCTCCGTGAAGGCTTCTTCGTGGGCATCTTTTATTTTCTATGGAAGAAAACGGACACTATTAGGGAGAGCAAAAGTCTATGTACCGCAGTCTTAGAAAGTCATCAAACATTATATGTAAAGTATGGCAAAAGAAGTAACAGTATTTCTTTTCTACAGCTGCATAGACAGGAGGTCGATAGGTATTCTGGCGTCTCATTAAATATGTCCTTTATTAGTCACTACTTGAATAGTTTAACTCTTACACAAGTACACTTTTGCAATTACACAATAAAACACGGTTCACAATATCGCAGCTGGGCTCTCACTTCACTTCACTTCACTTTGTTCTTATATCTCACTGACTGGCACCGCCCCACCCCTTATATACCCGCAAGGACATGGCTGACAACATTCTAGGAGGTTCGAGGAAAATATAGTTCTCAGAAAGTCTGGAAGGTTCCACGAGAACAAAAGTCCAGAACATTCTAGGAGGTTAGTGAAAAATTAATCCACATACAGAATACCTGATATATTTTACTTCAAACATTCTATTTTCCCTTTTTTCACTAACAACAAAAACAGCAAGCCTGGCGCCCCAGTGGTCACCTGGGTCGCCTGCCCCTAAATCCAGCAGTGAGAATACTGCCTTTTCATGTGATCAAGGCAACCACATGAGCAACAGTTACTGTTTCTTTGGCTGAGGTCCGATAATTAGGGTTACTAGGAGGAGGCCGGTACTGTGATGGTGTGGGCTTCACTCCCTTTCCTTCCCTTCCTCCCGCTCTTCCCCCTTCCTTATTCCCAGGGATAAACTGAAGACCCACTTGTACTCTAGCTTTTTGCCTTTCTCCATGGGACTTGTGCTCCCTGTATAGCCTTGCTTGTATGTACAAGTCAGCTGGTTTTGCAGCTGCTTCTACTGATACAGGAGTTTTCTATCACATGGGGGGTTGTGCTTCATCAGTGCAAACCTCAAAGAACTACCCTTGAGCTATTAAATCCACCAGCTTGTCTCAGGTGTCTGCCCCTTTACCCTTTATATACTTTTTCAAATAATTCACCTTTTTATGCACATATTCCCCATAGGGTGACCAGATAGCAAGGGGGTGAGGGGTAATAGGTGCCTATATAAGAAAAAGCCCCCAAAATTGGGACTGTCCCTATAAAATCAGGACATCTGCTCACCCTAATTCCCCATGATTTAACTTATTAATCTTTTTAAGGTTCCTGAAATTGAGATGGTGTGCCATTGACATAATTTGAAACCTTTTTAACACAGATGATTTTAAAACATCATATTTCACAGCTTCACTTACATCGTATTTTTAACAATTTGTAATGCTTTCCCCATCAGCTTAGAGAGCAAAACCATCATTCTTAAGGCTTGTTGAGTAATGATATTGTGGGGTGGGATAATGTTGTTTTGTTGTGGTGCACAGAAGTTTTGAGGAGTGATGTAATATCAGAACACGAAGCATCATAGTGATGTATTTGATAGCGTCATATCACAGTGTGATGATGTGATGCCATGGTATGTCGTCACTGACTCAGGATCAGGCTGACCTTGAATTATGTTTTGATCCCATTATGATGGGATCATAATGCACCTCAGGGGGTGTGGTGCCTGGTACAGCATAATGGCTGCCTTGTGGTATGGCATGATTAGCAGTGTGGTATATTAACAGTATTGCCATCTTTTGCAATTCTATTGCTAATCTCACAGTTTTCTGTCTTTTTTTCTTAAGGGCCCAGCTCTTGGAGCCATTTCATTAAAAATGTTTTTTCCCCTCAATTTTCATTAAAAAACAACAGAAAGTTTCTGGTCATCTTAGTGGCAGGTAAAAGCTTGAAAATCTGAATTCTGAAGCTCAAAAACCAGAAGACATAAAAGTACCTTAAACTTATTATTTTAGGGCAGTTTTATGATTGTAAGAGGGTGGGGCTAATTCATGTTTTTTGCATATTTGAAGTTGGCAATAAGTATCACTGCAGAAAAGTGTAATGACTTGTCACAGAGTCATCCCCTGAGGAGAGTCCTGAGTCCCCCAGTCCCTGCACCCTCCAGACCAGTGGTCACCAACCACTTCCCAGTCGATCGTGATCTCCGGTGGTACAGCGGGGCTGCTGCTAAAGCAGGCTCCCTGCCTGCCCTGGCCCCACACCACTCCCGGAAGCGGCCAGCATGGCCCAGAGAGCAGGGGGGCAGTGGTCTTCCCCCCCCCCCCAACGCGCTGCTCTGCCTGTGAACAGGGAGCTGTGGCCAATAGGAGCTGCAGGGGTGGTGATAGCTCAGTGGTTTGAGCATTGGCCTGCTAAATCCAGGCTTATGAGCTCAGTCCTTGAGGGGGCCACTTAGGGAGCTGGGGCAAAATCAGTACTTGGTCCTGCTAGTGAAGGCAGGGGGTTGGACTTGATGACCTTTCAAGGTCCCTTCCAGTTCTAGGAGATGGGATATCTCCATTAATTTATTTATTTTAATTTTAATTTGCAGCGAGGGGCTGCATGCCCCTTACCCCAATCCAGGCGCGCATTGGCCCCTACTGGGAGCAGTGTGGGGCAGGGGGAGGCAGGGAGCCTGCCTGATGGGAGGCTGTACCCCAAGCCCCAGTCCTGACCCCCGACCCAGAGCCAGCATCTTGAACCCCCTCCTGCACCCCAGTACTCTGCCCCAGCCCAGAGCCCCCCCTGCACCCAAACTCCCTCTCAGAGCTTGCACCCCTCACCCCCCTACCCCCGGTTCAGCCAAGAGCCCCCTCTCACGCTGCAAACCCATCAGCCCCAGCCCAAAGCCCACACCCCCCTCTTGAACCCCAGCCCCCTGGCCCAGCCTGGTGAAATTGAGTGAGGGTGGGGAAGAGCAAGCAAGGGAGAGAGAGGGGGATGGAGTGAGGAGGGCGGGGCTTTGGGGAAAGGGGTGGGGTAGCTCCTGTGTTGCCTTAAATTCAAAAAGTGATCTTGGGCATAAAAAGCTTGGAGATCAGGGCTCCAGACCACAGAGGAAGAGGAACTACCCCTCCCCTTTTCTCCAGCATTTTCCCTTCATAGCTCTGGGGACAGCTGGGGTTTAAAAGAAATACTCAGGGCCGCAGTGACCAATAGCCGGCCACCAGCCTGTTACCTCCAATAGGAGCTCACAGTGGGTCGGTGTTGCTAGGTAGAACAGAGACCTTTCCCCCTTTTTCCTAATCCTCTTCCTTTCCGAGTCCGGCGTCCAATTAGAGAGCTCTGAGAAGGAGATGGGCGGGACACAATAAGAAAAAAGGGGCGGAATTCCGATTACGATAGCCAATCGACAGGAGAAACATTGACTCTAGGACCACTGATTCGCTGTTCCGAATAAAGTGACACGGCCAACCTCCAATCCGGTTGTCAGGGGCTGCGGAAGGCGGCGCGAAGTTTGAATCGGCGCGAGGAAGCTTGACGAGGAACCGGGGAGCGACGGATACGCCCGGGGGGCGCGGGGCGCCCCGCCATGGAGGAGCTGGAGGAGAGGCTGCGCCGCAGCAACGCGCGGTTCGTGGACTCGCTGCAGCGGATCATAGAGAAGGTGAGGCCGGGGGCGGGGCCTCGTCACCCCCCCCCCCGTCGTTATGCCGGGAGTCGCGCGGCCCAGGCCCCGGTGCTCGCGCGGGGCGGGGGTGTCGCAGAACGACAGGCAAAGTCCAGCGGCTCGCCAGGCCCCCCCCCCTCCCCCATCGAAATCAGCCGCCCGGGCCGGGGGCGCTTGGAGGCCGGGCGCTCAAAGGTGTAAAACTTTAGGCGCAGCTTTCCAACGTGTCTGCGCATAAAGTTAGGCTCCTACATGTGTCGTGCGTCACTTAACTAGCCTGGGACTGGGTCTCTTCGCAAAGGTGCTGAGTCCCCCCCGTCCCGCGGAAGTCTGGAGAGCGCACGGGCCTGTCACCCTCGGGACGTCGGGGGCCTTTTACTTACGTCTCTAAGTTTGGTTTGGGGAGTTAATTTTAGGAAGCTTGTAGCTCAGGGGTATTGCGTGTGGCAGCGATGTCACTGGTAACAAGCAAGTTATTAGCAACAGAGGGTCCTGTGGCACCTTTAAGACTAACAGAAGTATTGGGAGCATAAGCTTTCGTGGGTAACAACCTCACTTCTTCAGATTCAGACTAACACGGCTACCCCTCTGATACTTGACACCAAGCAAGTTATTGCAGCTTCCACGTTGTTGACAGGGAAGGCGGTGGCTCCCGTTTGATACATCCAGCGCGTTAGAGATGGAAATTCCCCCAGTATTTTTGTTTGGTTTTCATCTTTATTTATAAACTTTAAAATTGTGTGCAGTATTTTTTTAAAATACCCTTGATTGTCTTGGTAATAGCATTCAGATCATGATGATGGTAAATGCTTTTTCTCATCTTGCCAGTCCCCTCTAGACTGTATGGCCATACAGGATCAGACCAGTAGGCCCTCTAATCAGATTCTCAGTCTATCAATGGCCAAAACCAGTTACTTCAGAGGAAGGTGGAAGAAGCCCTGTAAAGGACAGTGACGGGATATCTTGTCCATGGTGCACATTTACTCCTAAACACCTGTCAGTTAGTGTTTGGCTTATGCCCTGGAACAGCACTATTTATAGCCTTTAAAAATGTATTTCATCTAAAGTAAAAGTGGGTATTGTCAGATTGCAGACTTTAAAATACTTTAAAGTAAAAGTCTCTCTCTCTCTGAAACACACACACACAATCTAAACAAGCTTATGAAAATCTTTGACCTTTATGTAAAACCTCTCCTGTTAGAAATTTAACCAATAATTTCTGTTAAAATGGTCTGTTTTTTTTGTTTTTGTTTTTTTTTGTAATAGTACAATTATCCCTTTGAAGATGATATACTTGTCTCTATGGAATCATTGACTTATGATACACCCATTGGTAAGAATTCCTTAAAATAGCATTTTTAATTTTTTTTTTCAGACCTACTACAGTGTACAGATTTACACAAATAGGACTGCATAATGTCTGGGCAAAAAGAATTCACTCTGTGGTCGAGATCCTACAGAAACTTCAGTATCTGCTGTAGTTTGCCCAGTTGGCATAGTCCCATCGAAGCCATATGTAAAATGCAATGCATGGGTAATTTTTACAGGCTCTGGCTCTATGTCCATATGTAGCAATGGATGAAGGGTAAAAGGAAGTTACAATTTTAGTCATTATTTAGGCCAAAAAAAAAGTCATTGGGGCTCAAGAGAACAGTGATTAATACTGTAGTGAGTTGTAAGGAACAAACATTAGGGTAGAAGAGGAATTTAAAGGAAAGAAAGTAAGTGAGAAAAGAGAATGAAGGGGAGAACCCAGTAGCTGTTATGTAAAAGCTGTTGTGATGTGAATATTTTGCAGTATCTCATTGGATGGAATAGATTGCGTTATCTTAAGAAGACTTTTTCTTCACTGTGAGAGCACATGGTTAATTCACAAAAAGAACAGGAGTACTTGTGGCACCTTAGAGACTAACAAATTTATTTGAGCATTAGCTTTCGTGGGCTACAGCCCACTTCATCGGATTCATGCAGTGGAAAATACAGTAGAAAGATAGAGATATATA